TTCCTTAAATGGAAAAAAAAATTTGTCTTAGTGAGAGTGTCTAATGTGTTCTGTGTTTGGCTTTGTTTTCAACATTACATTGATGAACCATATCTAAGTCGTTGGGTGTAATTATATTGTATTTCCCCAAGTTTTGGCATTAGATCCATCCTATTCCATGGGATATCTATTGAACCCTTGGTGAGAATTTTGAACTTTGATTATTTTTAAATATAGCTGTGAGCTGTACACTTTTTTGTTCATATTATATGTGTGTGTGCACATGTGCACGTGTGTTCTGTTTAGTTTTTCTGTAAGCTGAAAGCGAAATTACTAATTGTGGTGGATTGCCTAATGGTCAGCTTGGAATGCCCAGCTGAACTGAGCGTGCGGCTCTCGGCACGGAAGAGCATAAGGATAGCTGCCTGCAGCGCAAAGGAGAATGGAAGGGGAGGGGTGCATGCTGTTGGTTCTCCCGGAGAAGCTCATCCTGGCTGGTTTCCTGATGTAAATGCTGCTGTTCTCGTGGCCAGAGGAGCGTGGGGCTACGCTGTCCCTGAGGATGGCTGCGGTTCTCTTTGGGGCAGCTCTGGTTATTACTCTGAGCATCGCTTCCTGGCTTCAGTGCAGATCCCTCTGCCTGCTGGCACAGAGCCTCTACCCCTGCTGGTGCAGACTCTCTATCTTCTACCCCTGACATTGGGACCATCCTCGTCAGACCCTTGATACAGGCCTGCACGAGACATTGTTGTGGGCTCTAGGTTTCCAGCTGGACTCAGGGAGGACATTGTTATGGGCACTAGGCCTTCAGCTGGACTCGTGCAGGATATTGCGCTGGGATCCAGGCCCCCACCTGGATTCTTGGGGTCTCCAGTCAGCAGGCAGATCTCTGGCATTCTTCTGCATTTGGGTTTTTGAGTGAATATTATAAAAACCCCTATAAACTGTATGTCTTGTATTAAATCTATTCCTTTGCAAACCCTGACTACAACACTAACTTTAGGGTGTAACCACACTTAACTGTAATAGATAATACCAGGCAGTTTACCAAGGGGATGGTGGCGCACACCTGTATCGATTACAGTTGCAGCTGCCCTATGACCTCGGTAGTACCGGGGTTTCTTAGTCCGGTTCTGGCCCTTCTGGTGATATACAACAGAGTGCCTTATGGTTCCAATTTCATTTCCTGGATAACTAATAAGTGAAGCGTTTCTTTCGGGTATATGGACCATTTGGATGCTCTCAATTACGGATGCTTTCCTTCGAGTCTCTTGCTCTTTTTATATTGGGTCACCATGTTTGTGACTGATTTTCAGAAGGTATTTATACATTTGATATGAACCTTTTTGTGGTAAGTATTGCAGGTATTACATGCTACCCTGAGCTTGACTTTTCACTATATTATGGTGTCTATAGATTAGAGAACTTTAATTTTAAGATAGTTTATTTTATCAATATTTTCCTCTAATGTTTCCTATGCCCTTTCAAGAGAGCTATGCTTACCTGGGGGCCATGAAATTATTCTTCTATAGTCTAAAAACCTTGTTGTTTCACATCTTGTATCACATTTATTCTCTTTCCTTCCCCCTCTCCCTTCCCATGTCTCTCTCACTTTCTCTCCTCTTTTTCTTTAATTTTGGTGCTGGGAAGTGAAGCCAAAGCTACATCTACCCTCCCGCCGAGCTGCGCTGCAGCCCACTGCGTGGGTGCTTATGTGTGGTGTGAGGTTGGGATCAAGCCTGTTGTCTTCCAGTTTTGCTACCCACAGCTTGCACCATTCTTGGAAAATACTTCCTTTCTCAATGCTCTGTGGTGATGCTTTTGTCAGAAATTATGTGCTCACTCCTTTACAGAGAGATCCCGATGGCTTCGTCCGTTTCTTCTGTTAGGGTGCTGATGTTTTCTTCTTTTGGTCCTGAGATCCAAGAGCTCCCACATGCAAGGCAAGCGCTCCACGGCTGAGCTGTGGCTGCAGCCCGCAAAGGGCTTGTAGATGTTAAAGCAATCTTTTATTTTGGACTAAATCCAACTTTCTCGTGTGAAGTACTATATATTTTCTCTATTGCTGCATGCATTTTAGTCATATTTTTAAAAAGTAAATTTATAGCAATGTTTGTGAACTCAATTGTAACTGTTACTTTGCTATAAGAGCACTCTATGGCATTTTCAAGTCCAGCTGACTCATAAAAGAAGTATTTTCTGTCTCTGTCTCTGTCTCTGTCTCTTTCTGTGTCTCTCTGTCTCTGCCTCTCTCTCTCTCTCTCTGTCTCCATTTCTCTCTCTCTGTCTCTGTCTCTCTCTGTCTCTGCCTCTCTCTCTGCCTGTCTCTCTCTGTCTCTGCCTCTCTGTCTCTGTCTCTCTGTCTCTGTTCCTGTCCCTGTCTCTCTCCCTCCCTTTATTTTTCAGTGCTGAGAGAGGAACACTTTGGACGAGAGGTTTCCTTTTAACACATACACAAAGACACAATTCCCAGCGATGGGGACTGTTGAACCCAGGGCCTCACTAGGCAGGTGCTCTACCACTGAGCTATACTGCCAGGATTTTAAAGAACATTTTATTTTGAGACAGGGTGCCCAGACTAGTTTTGAGCTTAGCATGCTCTCGCTTTAGCCTCTGAGCGCTGAGGTAGTAGATGTGTGCCACAGGCGTGGTTTCCTTCTTCATACAGTGGTCCTCGATTCATGAACTTAATTCTTTCTATGATTCTGGTTGCAAACCGAATTGGGCCAGAGCCAAGTCAAATTCAGTGGTCAGGCTCAACATTGACCTTACGGGGAAATATGCCCAGTTTGGTTTATAACCAGAATCGTGGAGAGTTAAGTTCGTAAACTGAGGTGCTACTATATTCTTTTAAAAGTTGAAACAAATATGTCTACTTTAATATAGTAATTAGATAAGCATGCAGGGTGCTTGAGTAAGTGCTACTAGCTTCCTTAGCTCTCACACCTCTGGGTATTTTAACGTAGATCTCCCACAGGGAGCTGGCTCTGAGTTTTGCAAGGAAAGCCAGCAGCGTGGGGCTGTGCCCTGGGACTGCATTTGGCCACGGGGCCGCTGCAGCATGCTGGTGTGTGCGAGGCACTCAGTTCTGGGCCCAGGATTCAGGCCCATCCCGGAATGCAGAGACAGCATTTTGGCCAAGCGCCTGACCCTGCCCACGCTCTTCAAAGCTGGTTTCAGCTCTGGCTTCTGGCCTGGCGGGTCAGCCTCCCTCAGCTCTGCATGCTTATAGCTCCTGGCCTTTCCTTCCCTGTGTCCTGTTATCTGGGCCTAGGACCCAGCTCGGTCACTGGTTGCCTGGGCCACATCCTCAGTGGGGCCCTCGTCTCCAGCTCTTCCTCCTCCCCATCGTTCTCACGCTCACTCTAAGTGGCAAGCCGATGGTTCACCAGTTGCTGACAATCTTGTGGTTTTGCATCATGGTATGAGATCCTTTGGCATCTGTTCTCCCAGCGATACCTTGGACTGGCGATTTACACACAACAGGAATTTACTGTGTGGCTCTGGAGATGGTGATATCCGGCTCCAGCTTCAGCAGACTGGGTGTCTGGTGTGGACTTCATTGATGGTGCCCCTTGCCTGGTACAAGAGGAAGAGAGCCACCCAGCTGCCTCAGTGGACTCTCATACCCTTCCTGTGATGTGGTTCTGCCCCACAGGCCCTGCTTCTCACGGCCCCCACCCTGGCCTGAGGCTCCCCTACATGCCTTTGCTGCAGCCTCCTGTGCAGCTCGCTTGTTGCCGCTCTGGTCTGCGACCCTGCCCCCCTGCTCCTTCTGTAAGCTCCGCCATGCCCACCCTGGTGCTGTGTGTACCAGCCTCTGGCCATTGGCTCTTCTCCCCGGGATAGAGTATCCTTCTTCCTGCACATCTTGTTCTGTCCTCCGACAGTAGCCAGGATGGACTCCCTTGACTCCAGCCCGCTGGGGCTTCAGTGATCTTCTTTTCCCCTGCTCCATCTTCCTTGTTAGACAGTCCGAGAGCTCCCAGAAGGCAGAATCTTGGGCACCTGGAATTTGCAGGTAGCAAGTGCTCAATGAAATGTCTGGGCCAGAGCAGCTGGGACAATGGGCTCGCCGACTGTTCTGAGGTTCATTCCATCTCATTTTGGAAGTCAGAGATAGAAGGGATTGGTCATGATGTCCAGGTGGGAAGTGCCCAGAAAGCCACAGACTCTGGGTAACCCTTCGATGAGCTCTCATCCTGGACAACTGAGTCCAGTCTGCTGAGATGAATGACATCAGGTTAGCAACAAGGATCTTCTGTGAAGGTAGCTTTCTCCAGAGCAACAAACAGAAGAATTTAAATGAAAAATTCTGGCTTGCAAGGCCACTTAACCAAGATCCTTTCTCTTTCTCTTCTCAATTAAAGAGCTTATGCCGAGGCTCTTCAAGAGGTTGTGCACGGATCATGAAGCTCGTTGAAGTCTTCACTAGACATTCCCTTTCTCTGTGGAGCTGGCTGCCCCCCTACAAAGGGATCACGGAAGATGGCCGTCCAAGGCTGTCCTGCAGAGCGGGTCTTGCTGTACAGTGGGGCCCCTCATTTTATTTGGCCCATTTATTGCAAGTACATTCTAAATTTGGTCTTAATTATTTTTCCTTTCACAAAAATATTTTTTGGGATCTTCTTGAACCTTGACTACTTCCTTCTTGCCCCTTACAACAGAAGCCAGGAGTGTTATTTTTGTTCTCTTGTAATTAAAATAATTGCTTGGTTCCTTTTAACTAGATGCCTGCAGTCATTAGCCTAATATGTGGAAGGGTGCCACGGCGTGCTCGAGAAATGAAATGAGAAGGGGACCACGTAGCGTCACGTGCAAAGGACGTGGCCGTGCCTGCAGCACTGGGTCTCTTCCACGACGGATTTCCAAGGCTTTGCCTAAACCTGGCCCTGGTGCCCTTGCTGAAAGCCTGAGAGGTGGAAAGAGAGCTCTGCTCCCTCCCGAAGGTGTGAATGGGCTCGGTGCAGTCCAAAGCGGGTGCTGGCCGCGCTGGTGAGGTCTCCCCCTTTGTCTTTCAGGATTGCTGCCATACAAGGACAGAAGCCCCTTGCCTTCCCTGCCAGGGGTAGCAGAGGAGGAAGAACAAAGGGCCTGGATTTGTGGGTTCACTGAGGGTCCTGAAGATGCTGCTTCTGACTGGAAGAGCCAAAGAGACAAGACTTTTCACTCAGTGATACTTTTGATGCAGTCTAAGGATGGGCAAACAAACTAACTTGTTGCCTGTTTTTATAAATAAAGTTTTATTGGCACACAGTCATGTCCATTTTAATGCATGGCCTTTGCTTGGTTATCACAGCACCAAGTGGCGGTGACAGGGACCTTGTGTTCTACAGAGCTTAGAATATCTACTGTCTGCCCCAGTGTACCATACTGGCCCTGCCCCAGGGGTGCCCTGAGATGGTGACTGAGACTGGGCGTGGTGGCACATGCCTGTAATCCCAGGGTTTGGGAGGCTGAAAACAGGAGAGTCACTACGAGTCCGACCTATGTAAGGAGACCCTGTAGACGCTGTACTAAATACATTCTTTTAAAAAAAGAATATTTGCTGTCTGGCCTTCTACAGATAAACCTCAGATGCCTGTGGCCTTCATCCAGTTCCCTGTGTATCTACTCAGCGCCTAGTCTAGGCAGAGATAAAAGCGCGGGGTGTTGCTTGTTTGGTTTTGGAACCGGGATTGGAACCTGGAGCCTTGCGCATGCTGAGCACGCGGACGGAGGAACCTCTAAGCTCCAGGCCCGGCCGTGGGTGGCTTCTGGGTGCTGCTCATTTGAAAACACACTCAGGGGCTAACTCAGCGGGTGAGAGGGTGAGGTGCGTGCAAGGCGGGAGTCCCCGAGGCGACCCCCAGGAGGGGCGCTCATTCCGGCCCAGGATCTCGGAGGCGTGGGGCTGTGGTGGCGCGGCTCTGGGGCTTCAAGCGAGGCAGCAGCGGGTCACCGTGGTGGAGCAGAGGCGGAACCCCAGGAGCCCCTCGGAAGTCGTGAACTATGCACAGACCATCGCTGCTCTTGGGGACACTGGAGATGGCGACCACTCACGCGCGCCGGCCATTCTCCCTTGCTGGCAGGGGCTGTGCGTGCGGCGCGGACGTCGGCTCGGCTCACGGAGCGCGATTGGCTATTTGCACGCTCCGTGGTCAGGACTGTGGGCCTCTGCCTCCAGCCAAGTGCGGACGCGCTTGGCCGCCTGCTGTGGCCGGGAAGCTCAAGTGCGAGAGCGTGAGCGCCTGTGCCTCTGAGTCCCAGGCTGCTGCATTCGTGGGGCAGACGTTAGGGCGAGAGCGCTAGTGCACACGTTGCCCCACGCGGCGCGGGAGGAAATGAGACCTCCCGGGCACGGCCGGCCCGGGGAAGCGCCGAGGCCCAGCTCCAGCTTTAAGTCACCGCTCTTCCGATACATACCGCTCGCCCACCCCGTCTCTCCTCCTCCTTCCTTCTCCTGTTGTTGTTCTCTTCATCTTCTCCTTCCTCTCCCCTCCCTCCTTCTTCCTCTCCTGCTTCTCCTTCCTTTCCCTGTTCTTGCTCTTTTCATTTTCTCCCTCCTCCTCCTTTTTCCTTTTCCATGGGTACTGGGGACTGAGCCCTTCTTTCTCTCTTGAGTCTTTCCGTGGATACAGAAACGTCCAGGCTTGAGCTGGGGTGAGGCTGAGTGGTAAGGTGTTTGCCTGCAATGCACAAATATTTGATTCCTGTCATTGCAGAAATAAAAAAAACCTTGGTCGTCCAGTCTATGTGCTAATGAACGACTCATTCCCAGGTCCACACTGTTTAAGAATCAGCTAAGAGCAGGGTCACCAAAGTTTTGTTCGAGGGTTAAGCTTGCGCAGAGCACTTGTGCTTGTATTCCTGCGGCTGGAATCCTCTGGAAGCACAGAGGTGCTCCCCGATGTCCCCTGTGCTGCCCGCTGCACCGGTGCTTATCAGAGATGGGAGCAACACGGAGTTGGGGAGACGAGAGAGGAGCACCACTGCTGCTGCTTTGCTCAGGACTGCCGCCGACGCCGTGGGCGGTAGCTGGCCCTCAGCGTGGTGCTGGGAGAGGTGGTGGAAGCTGAACGTGGGGCCTCAGCAGTCTTCCAGATCCTGAGGCGAGCACTTGATGGGCAAAATGAGGGCCAGCCTTGTCTTCTCTTTCAGCCAGCTGGGAGTGGAAAAGGCTCTGTGCCCCTGCCCCCAGC